AACTCAAAAGTTAACTCCTAGTTTGAATCAGAGTCTTTCAAAGTGAACTATTTAGAAATCTGAGTGCAGTATTGACTGCGGGTTATAAAATCTGACCTCATAAAACATAAAACATAACGTGTAACTTACTATTAAATCATTCAGTCAGGGGCTTTATTCAGGTTTAAATGTTCTGTGTTCATTTCATTTTTTTTTTCTTTTAAGAGACACAAATTACCCTGCAGGAGAAAGAGAAAGCATGCAATATATAATATTTACACTGGGAAACAAACAGAATTAAGACTTTCATATATCTTATTAGCCGTTTTTAGATAAGCTTTGCACTGAAATAGGTTTGCCTTAAGAAAATTTAAAGCTGATGTATTTGTTAACCTTTTCTGTGTAAATTCAAGCTGGACCCAGTCCAGGCACATATATCTCATATATGCTGGAATGACTATATTGCACCTGAAACTCTATTGTCATCATTTGATTTATTTAAAAATAAACTGATTGGAAAAGTGTTTTTTTTTACTTCAGTGCTGACTCTCTTGCTTACATATCCTGCAGAAACTGCTCCCTGGCCACTCTCATTTGCTCTGTTTTCAGTACTTGTCCTTCTATTGCTTTGAAAATAAGCCCGAATATCCATACCGACGCGCACTGGCTGGTGACCAGACGGATTTAAAGCATGTACGAACGTTAAATATGTTTGACTCAGTGTCTCGCGACTCCCGGCCCCTCTGTTGTTTGATTGGATGTTGTCTTTAGTCGTCGGTTTGATTGGTTGAATTGTATGATTGACAGAAAGAGAGAGGAATAATAGAAAGCTGGCTACGCTGAGTTAAAGGAAAAAAAAAAAAAAAAGACGGCTGCCAGTCCAGGGCGGGCATGGGTGCCTCCGTGGGCGGGCACGGTCCCACAATGCCCGCCCATGCCGCCGGGTCTGAATGGATCCCATATGCAAAACACTTTTCCTATCTAGTAGATCAAGATCTGGGCTTTTACAGAATCTACATTCTGGATCGCAGCACCATCAAAGCTCAGGTCTGGATCTGATGGCGAGGTGACCATGCCCTGCTGCTGGAAACCATCCCCAGTTCCTGACGCCTCCACCTCCGTATCCAGTGGTGGGTTATGGCAAAGTGAGGCTCACTGCTGAGGGTGCTAATCTAATGGTGCGGCATTTACATTTAGAAAATAATAGAAAGAGAAATACCTTGAAATGAACAAATGGAGCGCTCTGGTTAAAAATCTGAAAAAATTGCTGCCTCTAACATTTACCACTAATTAGTGTTGCAATGATAGCGATGCCAGTATCGGGCGGGGTACAGATGCAGCACTAAAATCCTGGTATCTGTATAGTTGAGTACCAACAAATAGGGCACAGATATCATT